ATATAGATATATATACTAAATATATATATGTATATAGTTCTTTACCAGAACTGCACAGAAGTCTGTTTAAACATTTACATGAAAGTATAGTGTTTTGTGACATTTTTGTATTCATGTATAAATATCAGGGAGCATGCACACAAAACAAGCATAATATATAATAACACCTACATGTAATCCTGCTACCGATTAGATACAATTAACAGATAAGAAAAAACATCATAAAACAATAGTAAATGATAATATTATAGTGAAAGTGGAGATAATGAAAACGATTTACTAGAGAATTTGAGAACAGTCCAAAATCATTTAGTAAATCAGTCTCACTATTAGGAAAGTTAAATGTGATACATTTGTCTCATTTCCTACAAGTTTATTTCTCTTAGAGCCATGTTGAGAGTAAAGAAATAGTAGAAATTCCAGTATTAGACTGGGATGATTTTAACATTTCCACACTGATCTTTGAAGATTGAGAGGCACAGATTCTCAGCGATTGAGTAAAATCAAATTGTGGTTGCCTACTGCTATGTGAAATATAATAATCTAGCTCTATTTACAGTAAAGCACTCCTGCAACTTGAAGCATATTAATGGGCTGTTTCTGTAAATTAGTATACACTTTAGTTACCCAGTTAGGATAACATGTTTATATATATATATATTACAGCACAGTGATGATCTCTTCTTTAGGAAATCAGTTCTTTTTTCCATCTTAGGTCACAACAGTCTATATATAAGACCTGGTATTCTACAATTATAAACCTCTAGGGTTATTTACAAAGGTAGTTATATTAATGTTGGCCCAGAAAAGTGGACCCCAAACTTCTATTAAGGCTGAAAAGGGATAAAAACAAACATTAAACTCACTGATTTTCTGGGTAAAATGCTCCTCCTTAAAGTCGCACAGTCACATAATCCTAATAAATATAAGAGCTTAATGCATTTAAAGATAGAAACATGAGCAATAAATACATTAAGCTCATACATTTATTGGGATTATGTGATAGTGCTCCTAAGGAAGTACATTTTAAGGAAGTACATATATGAATTATTTTTCTCTTTCCCATGGCTTCATTTACATTTCTCAGTACATTTACATGCAGATTAGGATGTCCATCAAAATGACAGTGACATTTGTTGGGACAAACTATAATGTGGCGAGGGGTGCTTACAATTACAATCTTATTCACTGTTTAGTTCACTGGATAGCTTCTTCTTGTGGATTTGCTTGATAAATGTGGATATGCTGGCCCATCAAAGTGCACCCCAAAAGTCTGCTTGGGTTAGGAGGTAAGAAAAGCTCCATTGTCTCATTGGGTTGCCAGGCTAAGGAAAACATACTTCCTTAAAGTAACACAACTGTGAAAAATAGTATATTTCAATTACTGTTCAGGATATGTCATGAAAACATTCAGTATATGGATTCAAATATTTTATTTTGCACTCTTTATTTATATTTCGCTCCACATTTTGCATACAAACTATTAACACACTAACTGTATTTATAATGATCACCTTTTATTCACATGGTTAATGTGTTAATAAAGTGTTGCTGCAACTGCTGAAGCAGCCCCGGTAGTGGTAAGTTTGTCTCAGCTCTTTTCCTGGTCAGCTTTGTAATCAAATATAAACAAAGGCATATGACATAAAAAAAGTAATTAGCATCCAATATACTATATACTATCATTATTCATATTACCTCTCTACAGTTATCAGAATATAAAATGTGTTTGTGTTAGTGGTCCTTTAAATCACCTTTTTATTATTAGGCATTATAAGTTTTGTTTCTTTAAGGAAAAATTAGGCTTAAGTGACGTATTCTTAGTGGAAGCCATTTGATTTACATCAGAGCGCAGTGCTGGCTTGGTCCTGTTCATTTAAATGTACACAGGGTGCTGTTTTATGTTCCTTTTATTGTATTTTGCAGTTTGAAAGGCTGCAGCAGAACCAGAACAGAAGTCTCCCAGTACAAAGCTGTGGGGCTTGAACTGGCTTTCTATGTAGTCTCAGCAGAGAATCCCACATGTGGAATGTATTTTTAGATGCAATAGATTGATGATGTAGTGTGTTTTCATATTATAGATTCTGGAATTGTTCAGTCATCTCACAGGAATGTCTTTGTGTTAAACTGGGGTAACATACTATCAGGAAATGCACTGGTTACATGTACCATATAGATAAAAGCAGTGGAAGTAAGGGTGCTATCAGTGAAAGGACGTGTTGGTACTTGTAGTTACACAGCACCTGGAAATGATCAGGCTGCCTTGCTTTCATAAGCAATGGAACCTACACAACTCAACATTCAATTGATCTTATTGCTTTCCATACAGTTCCTATTTAAGACACTATGATGAATGAGGCTCCTAGTGTGCCCTCCCTAAGAAACGATCATATGCAACATGTCGGTTTAGTTTATTAAACACTGACTCATTTCATCTTTGGGTGGTTGTTTCTGGTGGGTGTAGTTGTCATTGGCTTTTGTCTTAGTCCTGATTCACACCTGAGCATTTTGTGTCTCAAAGCTCTAAAATGCTGAACAACCTATAGACCCCAATGGAAGCGCATGAAAAACGCCTGATAAATGCCTGAATACTCCTGTAAATGAGCATTTTTCGAAGTTTAACAACCATCTCCTTCTCCCACATTTCCATTGGCTAGAGCAAAATTGCTCAAGTCTCAACATGCCTGAAAACATGTGCAAAAATGTACAAAACAATTCTCCAAAATTACCTGTATTGACGTTTATGCTCATGAGTGAATGCAGCCTTAAAGCCATAAGAGAAGTGTCACTTTCTACATATTTGTTTATTTATTTCTAATTCACACCATCATGTAGCTCTAGAATTATCAAGGCCGGAATGGAAGTGACTTTCCATTTTCAATTTAATAAACTATCAAATTATTGCCATGTTTTGACTAAACTGTCAACTAAATTCTGTTGGTTGATGGGTGGTAGATTACTTGGTTTCTGATGATTGCTTGCGACGGTGTGTGCGCTTTCCAGTGGATAGCAAGTGGTTAAAG